CCCCCGAGCTGGAGGCAGCACTGCAGGGGGGTCTCCCCAGAGCAGAGCGCAGCAGAGGGGCACAATCCCCCCTCGCCCTGCTGGCCACGCTGCTGGGGATGCAGCCCGGGGTGCCGGGGGCTCGCTGGGCTGTGAGCACCCATTGCTGGCTCATGTTGAGCTTCTCACCCACCAACATCCCCAAGTCCTTCTCTTCAGGGCTGCTCTCCATCCCTTTACCCCCAGCCTGGATTTGTGCTTGGGATTGCCCTGACCGAGATGTAGGACCCTGCACTTGGCCTTGTTGAACTTGATGAGGTTCACACCGGCCCACATCTTCGGCCTGGCCATGTCCCTCTGGATGGTGTCCCTTCCATCCAGCATGTTGACTGCTCCACTCTGCTTTGTGTCATGGGCAAACTTGCTGAGGGTGCCCTCAATCCCACTGTCCACATCGCCTTGTTGAACTTGATGAGGTTCACACCGGCCCACATCTTCGGCCTGGCCATGTCCCTCTGGATGGTGTCCCTTCCATCCAGCATGTTGACTGCTCCACTCTGCTTTGTGTCATGGGCAAACTTGCTGAGGGTGCCCTCAATCCCACTGTCCACATCACCAACAAAGGCGTTAAACAGCACCGGTCCCAACAGCGACCCCTGAGGAACACTACTCATCACTGATCACCTCTTTGACATCGAGCTGTTGACCACAACTCTTTTGAGTGTGACCATCCAGCCAGTTCCTTATCCACCAAGTGGTCCACCTGTCAAATCCATGTCTCTCCAGGTCTTTTGGGGTTTTTTTTTTTGGACAAGTGCTGTGTATCGTCGCACCGACTCTGGTTCCCCTGCCAAGAGGATGCTGCTCAAACCAAGACTGCAGAGCTGGGCCTCGCCGTGAGCCCATGTTTGCGGAAGATGGTCGCTCCTCCAGCAGTATGTTCTTCTCCATTTCTCCCCAGCGTAGTCCCAGACCGGGTGCTGAAGGATCAGTGTGGATAACTTGCTTCTAGCTGTGGGCTTGCAACCTGTTAACACCGACGGTTCAGGATCGGTGGTGATAATTGGGAGTTTATTACAGATTGTTGTGCTTTTTCTGCCTTCTGGCCGGGTTTTAGCTGGCACGCACGGTGTTGTGAAGCAAGCTGTGTCTATTTTCTGTAACACTGCAAGGTGGCAGCCTGCAGCTTCTGAGGTGGCTCCGGGGTAATCCGAAAAACGACTTGTTTTTACAGAAATACATCTGAATGTGAATCTTTTAGTCTCTACAGTGTTTGCTATGTTACCTGACATTCTGTATGTATTTTTCCCTTGCTTTTCAGTGCACCGTCAGCATCCGTCCCGCAGAAGTTGCAAGAGAGGGATGGAGATGATTTAGGTGGTTTTGTAGGGCAGTTTCGTGGGTTCCTGCGGTGTTCGGAGAGGTGGTAGGACATTCTGGATGATGTGATGGGTTTAAATTTGGGTTTTGCTGTCTGAACTCTGTGCTCGGGGCTAATTCAGGGCTGTCAGTACAGAAGAGAGTGAGAAAGAAGCAACGGCACACGCAAGTACAGAGGCAAAAGTGCTGTGAAAACAAAGACGGAAAGCCAGACCTCTTCCATCCGCCAAGAGAGTACGTGCTGCTCTGGAAGCAGTAACCGGAGCTGGTCGATGTGAGAAGCACTTCTCCTCACCGGCGGTTACTTTACCGACATCCTCCTCTTCGTCACTTCAGGATATGTTGGTTTTGGAAGTGCTCAGAGAAAGGCTGAGAAAGAATTGTTACGTAGAGAGGAAGAGGTATTGCAGTCGCGTCGTTTTTGTAAAATAGCTCAACCGTCTGAAATTCACTAAAAGCCTTGTCTTAATTCTGCGTGCTGTGATTCAAAAAGAAACTGTCGAGTGAACATCTTGTGAAGAATCTGAAACAAACTGACTGCTCTGCAGTTGTTGGTTTTGTTATTAATGTAAAGAATCATAGAATGGTTTAGGTTGGAAAGGACCTTGAAGTTCATCGAGTTCCATGGGCAGGGACACCTCCCACCAGCCCAGGTTGCCCAAGGCCACCTCCAGCCTGGCCTTCAACACCTCCAGGGACGGGGCCTCAACAACCTCTCTGGGCAACGTGTTCCAGTGCCTCACCACCCTGAGAGTGAACAACTTCTTGCTAATGTTTAATCTAAACCTGCCCTCTTCCAGTTTGAAGGCATTCCCCCTCGTCCTGTCACTCCATGACCTTGTAAAAAGTCCTTCCCCAGAGAATATGATGGTTGTAATACCTTTGATAGAAACTTGTGAGGGATGTTGGAGTGAGCCGGGAAGTAAAGCCAGGACAGTACCGGCTGCACGTGAGAACACTGAGATGTGGCACTCTGTGGCCTCAGAGCTACGTCAGCCTTTTGTCACCTTCTCCCGTTAACTCTTTTCTCATCTGTGTGCGTTAATTGCAGGACACGAGCTTAGCCTGAGGTGGAGAAGTGCTCGAGTCAGCTCAGGGTGCTCCTCCAGCGAGGCATGAGCGCAGAGAGAAGGAGAAATGGCAGAGGGCGGGCTGGGAACCAGATGTTTGGCCATGAGCTGTGGTGCAACCGTGCTCTCATACTGGCCAGCGTCACTTATAATCGGCAAAGGAACAGGTTGTGCCTCCCCTGAACTCCAGAGACTGGTTTAGGGGGTGGTAACAAGTGTTTGGAAATCACCTCCTGGTGGCCGCTGTTTGAGGAGAAGGAACGTGAGGCAGAACAGTGCGGGGAGTGACGGGATGCTGTGGGTTCCAGGTGGGGAAAGCAGAGAGCCCGAAAATGGTTTTTCTCTGCACATTCTTGCCTTTTATTTTATCTTCTCTTTATCTTCCCAGTGTACGAAGGGAGCAAAGTGGATAAGTGGGGGGGGGAAGAAAAGCTCTCCAGTACTACAGATAATGCAGACTGGTTTTGAAGTGCTGAGGCCTGAATGAAGGTGACAACTGAAATGACCATCGAAGTTGAAACAAAATAAATGTTTTAAGGTTATTTCACAATCTCTCCAGAAAAGGAATATTTTAATCTCAAAATTTTGAAGAGGAAAGGGTAAAAAAAAAGGGAACGTTCGTGACAGATTTGGAATAGTAGGAACGGGTTATGCTGTTTTGTTACGCCTCAGCATATGAGTTTGCCGTGTGTATTAAGAAAATACAAAACACCGCTGTTTTTTTCAGCAAGTTCTGTGCGCGCGGAGAGCCTGGCAAAGCGATGGAGACTCGGAGTACTCCAGCCTGGGTTGCTTCTCTCTGCCCCCTGACTTTGCGCTGTATTCGGTTTTGGGCAGCCTTGGAGACACGTACGTTGGGAAAGGAAGCGGGGAATGAGCTGGGAATGGAAATCGTCACTCTGAGCTCTTTAGATGAAACGAGCTGGTACTTGCCTACTGGGTGTCTGAGCAGTCTTCAGTCTCAATGTTACACAGTAGTTACTCACAAGGATAAAAATAATATTTCCAGTTGCTATTTCTATAGCTGAACCACCCTCAGCAGCCTGGGAAGAGGCTCAGGACGTGATTTGAATTTATTTCGTTGTAGCTTTTCTGCACAAAACGAGATCTGTCCCCATATGGAGTGGATGTATGCGCAGTCCCACACAGCCCGATGTTATTGCTGTACCCCACAAGTTACTGGAATAATCACGGGTGGCGCTCCTCGGAAAACGCGGTTGTTGCAAGGCGAGTTACCCTTTCTTCTGACACAGAAGTGTGGTCCTCTCGGGTTCCAGCTTTGGCAGCACTGAAGCAACGACTCTGTGGGTAGGAAGGCTGGCAGTGCCACCTGAAGACTTCAGCCCTGTGCAAATCTGTGTATCGTCTCTTCCTCCGAAGTGGAATAGCAAGGGGCTAGGTCATCAGCTCTCACAGCTGGGAAGAAACACTACCAAAGCAAAACCAAGTAGTTCTCGAGGTCTATCTCTTTGAGGGAAAGAATCCCTGCAGGCAAGTGGAGAAGAATGGGATGTGAGAAGGTTTTGAGGCAGCCTGGCGTGCCTCACAGAGGCGGTCTCCAAGACAAAATGATCCAAGGATCTTTTACTAAGGCTTCTGGGACAAGCTGCGCGTGACTCCTCTGAATGTAGGTGACGGTAACTAGTATTTGTGTTTTTGAAGACACTGTTGTTGTACCAGCTCCAATGCTGATAATCAGACAAAACTAATTTTTTGGATGGCCATACAGTTTATCAAACACTTAAAGATTTTTTTCCTCTGCAGGTATCTTAAGGACATCTGTTATTTGGTGAAGTTCCCGAGTGCGTTACTGTCTTGGGCACAGCAGAGGTGATGATCAGTGCTGCTTCTCTGAGGGGTATGATGAGATATCTGCTGAAATGAGCTGTTCCTCAGGCTGCAGATGTGCAGCATTCTTTCATGTTCCTGTGGGCTGCACACCAAGAGTGATCACCCCTCAGACGTTTATAGTAAACTTCATTGTAGCTGAGTTCTTGGAAAGTTTGATAGACCTGCATTTCTTGCAGGCTGGTTGCCCTTAAGAGCGTACCTTTTGGACTAAGTTAGAGAGTATTTCACTCTGGCCAAGACAGTGCAAGTCACTGTGACATGTTGATGAAAATTGAGGAGAATCATAGAATCATAGAATGATTTGGATTGGAAGGGACCTTGAAGGCCATCTAGTCCCGACCCCCTGCCCTGGGCAAGGACACCTCCCACCAGCCCAGGGTGCTCCAAGCCCCGTCCAACCTGGCCTTGAACACCTCCAGGGATGGGGCAGCCACAGCTTCTCCGGGCAACCTGCCCCAGGGGCTCACCTCCCTCAGAGTGAAGAATTCCTTCCTCACATCTCATCTAAATCTCCCCTCTTCCAGTGAGAAGCCATTCCCCTTTGTCCTATCACTACATGCCCGTTGTAAAATGTCCTTCCCCAGCTGTCCTGCAGGCCTCCTTTAAGTACTGGAAGGTGGTGGGCAGTGTTTTCAGGACCTCCCAGCAAGCAAAATGTAATTTTGGAACTATTGCATTTCCCTTGTAGTCATTGCTTATCTTCAGGTAGAGATGGGAAGGCCATTTCTTCCAGACTGTGTCTTGGAATTAGCTATTTTGCGCCGTAAGGATCTCCTGGGTGAAGATCAGCTGGTAGTTAGAACAGGAATGGCTGCCAAGAATTGGTGTCAGATCGCATCGAATTGGTGTCACACACCGATACAGTATTTTTTTCCAATTCTTTGTTCTCATTCAGTTTTTGAACGCAGCAGACCCTGTGGACATTTCTATGGCCACAGAGCCCATCCAGCCCCATCCTCTGCTGTGACTGTGAAATCCAGACCCGTACAAGGCAATTGCATGGCTCGGTGTGTTCCGGGGTGAGTATTTCAAACAGAAATGCAATTTTTTTGGGGTTCTTTTTCTGAGAAGTCAAAGAAGTGATGTGGCTGCTCTTTGGACGAACAAGCAGACAGTAGAGAACTGGGAGGTGGACTTGCCAGCAGCCAGTCTAAAAGAATCCTAAGGACTGAGCCACCCATCCTGCGATCCACGTGTCCTTTCAGGTACACACCGGCGCGTGTGTGAACTTGCCCTGGCCACAGGGCTGAAGGGCTTCCTGCAGTTCCCGCAGAGCCAGCGATGCGCAAGGCTGCTCGCAGAGCTGTGTCTAGGTTGTGTTCGACCCTCTGGGGTCTTGTGTCCTGCAGAGAGGCACTGCTCTGGCTTAATCC